AAAATTCCCAAAAATATCAGGCAGCAAAGTTGAAAAGTGGTAGATGAATGATATAAAATGTATTTTCCTCCATTTCTAGGAAGATGAAGTAGAAAAGGCAAAGCTATCCAAGATTACGATCCAAACAAATGACAACATGGGAAGATGCCTTACAATGTAACTAAATCACTACATAGTAACACAAACATACGTCACACAAATGCTACATAGACTGAACCTAAATAGATATTCATCAATTCCCCAACTATTCCCAATCTACTCCCATTCATGTCTTCATTTTTATAGCCACTCCATCTGCAATCTGCTACTTCAAGATATTAGAAATCAGCCCCAAAAATTACAGAATAACACACATAATACAAGACCCTCATTTAAAGGACAGACTTTGGCCTCCATACTTATTATGAGTGAAAAGCATCAAAGACTCATCCTTACACGTCTAGATATTCCAAGGCCAATATTAGTCAAACAAAAAATGGGCACCTTTGTGCTGTGTTTTACCTTGTTTTTCTCCTGGCCCCTTGTCTTCTGAAATTGCAAAACTCTCACAGTTAATATCATGAGATAATCTTAGAAGATTAGTACATTTGCTTGCAGGATTTTGATGTTTTTAAAAAAATCCTATTTTCCAAAGTGAGGAAGTCTTTGGAATCACCAGCTGCTATCTGGGGAATGTTGTGTTTAATTGTTTGATCGGCACTATCTAGCAGAATGGTTTCCCAAGTTCTGCAGTTTACCATTGGGCTAAGGAAACTTTATCTTCTTAACTAGCATCCATCACAGTTTGTGGACATTATTCTGTGGATTGATGCCAGCCAAGAATTATTCTTTATTTATTCAGTCTTCACAATGAAACTTTGGAATCCATCCTTTGGCTGGGATGACAATTGCTCAGCCTCCATCTCCAGGAGAGAGAGAGAGAGAGAGAGAGAGAGAGAGAGAGAGAGAGAGAGAGGGAGAGAGAGAGAGACTTTAGATAATATCTTTTCCCCCTTTTCCTGTTTGGATACATCTAAGACTCTCAGAGATTTTTTTTTTCTCAGAGGGGATGGATTGCTTCAAAGAGACACACCGTTAATGAAATTAAAAGCCCCTGGTGGTGCTTAAACAGACACTGTTGTGTCACAATAAAACAGCTAGTGTAACTTCCATCTTTATCTGACAAGGTAAGATTCTCAGGCCATTTCAGAGGGGAAGCCCAGAGAAGGACACCCTCTGGACTGTATCAACTCATTGGACTTCAATATAGCACCGATGAAAAGGGCATTCTCTGATCATCTGCCTATCAACCAGCCAAGATATTTTTCACAGCAGCTGTGTTCTACCAGTTCAGTTTTGCAAAAGAGTATTGGCTTCAGACATTTCTACCAAAGGAGAAAAGCATTCTCTTCTCTTACCCATGAAATACTCAGGGGTGTAGGGTCCTGTTGTATGGAGGGAGAGGGAGAGAGGGAGGGAATGTTCTTCCTTTTTTTTTTTTTTTTTGTCCAATCACTCTCCAGCAGCCTACAGCCAACCTGGCTTCCCATCCTTCAATTAAATCCCAAGGAAACTCACCCAGAAGGAATTGTTCTCATGCATCTTTTTTTTTCTTTCAAAAAAATAAATAAATTCAGATAATATGGACAGCCAGGGAGGCTACAGAGGGAGCAACAACATGTCAACATATCAAGAAAGTCAGCTCAAAAAGCCTCGTCAAGAGAAATTCCAAAGAAATCTTCAAGAGAAAAACCAAGAACCTTCTTCACAAGGAAAGACAAGGTGAGAAATAGCAAGGCATTATTACAATCGGTGAGATGAATGGCCCCCTGCACATCAGCAGGTTGCTTGAAGGCTAAAGAAGCATCCAAAATAAAGTGGTCTGGTGACACACACCCCCAACCCAGGAAGACGGTTCCATTTTGTAGATCTGCTTCAAAGGGGGGGGAGGGTGAATTGATGGAATCGCCCCATCAGAGCTTTCTCTAAGACTGCTAGAAGCCCATTGATTTGGCACGATCAGCAGGAACAGGGGGTGTTGTTTTCGGTTCTCTGTCTCATGTGTTGCCTCTTGCTTATTAAACAGACTCGTTAAGAATTTTACAGTCTTCGGAGAACAGGATAGAAATTTATTCGATCCCATGCTTGTCCATGCTAGGAAAAGAGCCCTGTTATTATTATTCAAGCAAAAGATCATTGAGCCAGCACCTTGCTTCCAACTGCAGATAGACAAAAGTATCTTGAAAAAATTAAAAACAGTAACAAACATGGTGGATTTGACAGTTGATGGAATACTGCCCTTGAAGATGGAAGTTCCATTTAGCTGTCATCGTGGGCAGAATCCTTCATAGATTCTACTGTAATTGGTTAATCCCCTTTCAAGAAAAGCCAGCTCCTTTTCTGCTTTATTTCTTAGCCCCCCTCCCCAAACGCAAAAGTGTATTTCTGCAGCATCATACTAGCCAGAGAAATATCCAGTGTATCTTTTTTTTTCTCTTAGCTATTTCAAAAGGCCAAGGTGAAGATCAGGAGCAGAGTCAGATTTCCAGCTAGCCTAACAACCTCTAATTCCTGGGGGGGGGGGGGTGTAATTAAAACATGTTCTTTTGAAGAAAGTATAAAACATATTTATTTTGGAGTTTGGAGCAGGTTCTCTACCTATTCAGCTAACAGCTTGATCAGCGTTTTCAAAGCAATCAAGTTATTTCCTGGATACAAAAGATTCACATAATCACATCTCCCCCAGCAGTTCAGATTATGATATAGACACATAAAATACTAAAAAGATATCACTTCATTTATAAATGGTGGTGAATTACAGGAGAACAAGAGGGGGGAAAGTGAAAATTGGGCAAGATGCCTCTGAAAGATGAGAAGGCCAGAATCACCCATGCACTTATTTTTCCTGATGTTATCTAGAAACCATCCTGTACTGTAAAAATAGGGATAAGTCTGGGAACTGAATGCAGGACTATTTCCAAAAGTTGGCTTCTCTGATTCTTTGGGGCAATGAGTGGGGGGGGGGGGAATTGTGGGAATCAAAATAGCAATAAAATGAAAAAGTTACTAAGGGCAGGATGGATTTAAAAGCAACCACTCACCCAATCACCTCTAGCAAGTTAGCATTGTCTCCAACCAACCATGCAGGGAAATATTTGGAAACAAGAAATATTCTTCCCTCTCATATACACACAGACACTCTCTCTCTTCCCATGCTATCCACCTCTCTAGGGTCTAGTAACTTTTGCTAAGTTATTGGCAAGGCCAAGGGCCAGCCTTTAGGATCTAGCCAGCCCAGGAGAAAGACAGAGAGTCCATCTTAAAGAGTATTTTAAAAGGCCACCTTCTCAACTTCTGTGCACCACGAAGGTCTCTCTGACAAGCAAGCACAAAAATATCACATACATATTTGGGCAATTGTTTCTGAGCTCTGTTCGAGCTAAAAAGCACCTCCCCTGTTCCAAGGATGGAAAAACAGCAATCTAAAGTCACCCATCTGTTGGTCCCCTCCCCCACTCCTTCTATGAAGTGTCTTGTGCCACTGGGATATTTAATTAATAAGAATACCCACCATCGCCTTTCTCATTAGCGATCCCTATCTTTTCCTGCATTTCACTGCCTAATAATAGTAATGAGCATCACACACTCCTCATCCAGCAAACACCCCCCCCCCCATCCCTATGGGAGTCCTGTGGGTAACTTACACAGGAGGTCTCTCCCTCCCCCACCCCAATCAGCCTACTTGGGTCTGTGTCAATGAATGAAGAGGGGTCCACTCCTTCTCTATAAACAAGCATATGTGTGTGTGTATTAGCACAATGCAGAAAGCCAAGCCTAGAGGTGTTTGGTGTGATTCATATTTGCAATCTAGGTTGGTAAAAACTTGAGAAAAGAGGGAGGGGAATTCTACCCCCAATCCCCCCCCCCCCCATGGGATTTTATGTGGTGTTTCATCCACTGGGATTTCCTAACCAGGAGAAAGAAGGAACTTGGGAGTCGATTTTGCCAGATAAAGCAGCAAAGCACACCACTAAAAATATCTCTGCTTCCAACAGCCCCCACCCCAGGCCAGCTACTCAAAATATGCACTGCTTAAAGGAGAAGGGAGAGAGAAAGAGGGGGGGGGACTAGGAGAGAAAGGGCTGATTCTGGAATCAGACACACACTGGCCATTAAAATACGTGTGCATTGGCGGCTGTGTGTCCAAGAGCCTCTGTGTGTCTCTGTGTGAGAGAGACAACTTGAATGTGGATGACTTTATGTAGGACAATTATTTCCAAAAGGTCATTTTAGGCACACACAGGAGTGAATTTGTGTGTGTCCCTTTCTGTCTCTCTCTGGGCATATGTATCTTCAGTGTTAATAGGGTTGTGTTATTATTATTTTTTAAAGCATGAACAAGGGCAGGGAGACTTCAATATAAAAGGAGAGGGGGAAAAGAATCAGAAAAAGTCCTGTTATCATGGGGGGGGGGGGGGGGAGGGAGGGAGAGAAGGAAGGAGAGGGACAGAGACCCCATATTCTTCTTTGCACACAGTTTAAAGCAAGCTAGAGATTGTAGGTAACCGAAAGATCAGTTGGCCAAATGCGTGTACACACACAGAGCGGCCCCCACTTCCAACTGCCTTCAAGGTTGCTGGCCATCCCCTCCGACTCCACTGGCCCTTTCTAGCTTTTTTTTTTTTTTTTTTGCAAACTGTTGCTTTTTTCGTCCGAGGGAGGCTCCCAGAATTTTGCGGGAGCAGATTGGAAGGGATGCTAAATCTGCATTCAGCGAAACGCAGTTAGGTCCCATCCTAACCTTCTTCACAAGCAGCGAGCAAGTCACAGGATAGAAGCGGCGGCCAAGGGGGCATCGGATACATCCGTCACCAGGCAGAAGCCAAATCTTCGCTTCCCTCCCACCCCACCCCAGCCCTGCATTCTCCTTTACAGTCACCACACATTCGGATTTGAACACAAGGGGGGAAGGGGAGGGGGGAGTGTGGAAGGGAAAGAGAAGATCTCGAAGAGGGACTTACATCGAAGTGATATTCCTAGAGATATCCGTAATGTTGATGCTGGCATTTCCATTGGTGGATCCCGAATCTTGCCCCTCGAGCAGAGGGAAGAGGTTGCCATCGTCTGGTTGTTTGCAATTGATCTCGGTTTTGTTGCAAAGGCAGTTGGCAGGGCAACCCAAAACGGAAACCAAGTAGTCCCCCCAAATGCTCCAGAGCCAGAAAACCTTCCAAAAACTACATTTGGTCGGACAAAACGAGACATCCATCTTCGACTTGGTGTGGCTTTATTTAAAAAGAAGAGAAAGAGGGGGGGGGGGGGAAAGATTGCGAAGGGGAAGAAAAAGAAGGGGGAGGGAGGAAGCAGCGTAGAAGGAGAAGGGGAAAGAGAAGGTTTTAAGGGGGGGGAGAAAGAGGGGGGGAACCTCAACCAAAAAGGAAGACAAAAACAAAAAACCAAACCACCCTCAAGCGATCAGAGCCAGAAAAAATCCTCTCGACGTTGAAACCATGTTGGCCAAGCGGAGAGGCTGTAAATTCCCTCTTACGAGAGCGGTGCGCGAGGCATAGCGGTTGGTGGAGAGATGCGCGCTGTGTGTGTGTGTGTGTGTGTGTGTGGGCGGGAGGGGGGGGTTTGGTGGGGGGGGGGGGGGGAGGAATGTTGCGCGCGTGTCCCGGTGCCTTGTTGATCCACCGTAGGCTCGCTGGGCTGGCTCGCTGGCTGCTCTTCCCGAGACTTGTGAAGATTGCAACAGAAGATTCGCAGCGGCACGGAGGAGGAGGAGGAGGAGGAAGAGGAGGAGGAGGAGGAAGCGAGAGCGGGCGGGGGGCTCCTATACTGATGCTCCGAGTCCCCAAGTCCCACCTACTGGGCAGAATGAAAACTGAAACACCTGCAGGGGAAAATATATATCTATCACCGGGCAGTGGGAAGAGAGAGCGAGTCACGAAGCTCGCCCTTCCTGGCTTCCCACGCCCAGCAGTGCTGCAGAAGTGAAGCGGCACCAGAACCGACGAGGTGGTGGCGACGGTGGGCGATGAAGAACAGCCACGGGCCCCGCCGTTTGCACCCGTGACTCCGCTCGGCGCGGGTTCTTTTTTCGTGGGGGGGGGGGGGGGGGGGGGGGGGGAGTGGCTGGTTACATTTACTTCCGAGGAAATGTCAGAAAAGGACCGGCCAGGTGCACGTGGGGGGAGGGGAAAGGATCCCCATGGGGATTGCCACCCGCGAGAGAACGCAAGCTCGCCTGTTGCTAGATCGAATGCCTTTCACCAGAACGCTCCTTCCACGCAACCCTCCCCACACTTTCTATTCATTTCTTTCCTTTTTTAAAAAAAAAAAATTCTGCAATCTTGAGAGAAAATAATCCCTGGTACATAATCCTGGTGCATAAACTGAGGAATAGAAAGCAAAAAGTCGCGAGTGTATTCGTCCCAGATTAAACAACAACAACCGCCCACCATCGCCAATCAGTGGTTATTATTTTTAACCAAGATAGTCCGGCTTCCGAACAGAAAATAAATAAATCGATTGAAAACACCCAGGGCAGAAATATTGGGGGCGGAGGTGGGGAGGAGGTGGGGGGAGAAAACTACCGCCGGGGAGAAGTTGAAAAATAAAATAAAAAACTCGAGTAGGACCAGTTTGCGAGGTGGGAAGGAATATCTCCCTGTATCTTGGAACAGCACATTTCTACAAGCAGCGATTGGATGTAAAAAGACCAGATGGAAAGAGGGGAGAAAGTGTGTGTATTGGAAAGGGCTGATCTCCGAGAGAGATCAGATGGCCGGGTTTCTCTCCCTCTGTGTGTGAGTGAGAGAGAGAGCGAGAGAGCAGGAGTGAATTAAGATTCAAGGTGTATTTTGGGGGACAGGCAAAAACCCAAGCACATCAGAACCCCCGTCTAATTTTCTTTGCCTCTCTAGGGTTTGTGTGTATGTTCCATCCTGCTTTTTTCTCCACTCCTCCTCCTCCGTCTCTTTTAATAGTCTCTTGTTTCTGCTCCTTTGCACACAGACAGCAAGACTGATCAACGATCAGACCTGTACTCTTCAGCTGCAGGACAAGGGACTTTACAGGTGTATCCTCCCTTTCTTAAAGATTTCAGATGTTTAAGAAAGATTTGGCAGTCTTGGGAAAGAATTGCTACATCCTCAGAGGGGAAATGTAAGGGTTGGGGGTGGGGAGATGGAACTGCACTGGGAAGCATAACTAAAAACCTCCCTTTTGATAAGGTTTCTATCACCCTGCTCCTAACCAGTGGCCTATTTCATTCTTAACATCAGGAAAAAAAATAGTATTATAAAATTAAGTCCTTCTTTGCAAGGAAATCCATACTTCTACCAGTGGTCTGTTGTCTGAACATGGCCATCCTTAAATAAAGATGCTGAGTTCACACATACAATTAAGCTATGTTTGTTTATTCATAGGCTGATTAACAGATTACTATTGCCCAGGTTGACATGGGAGTATATGAATCTGGAGAAATCCTGTTTAGATGAGACCTGTGATTCCACAGCAGCTTTCATTTTAATTCAGGAAACTGATTCTATTTGGGTCAGATAGCCAAATCAAATGGTTGAATTGATTTGAGCTTCCAGATCAATTAAAAAAATTATGACAGATGCAGACATGATCTGAATCAATTTGGAGGCAAATCAATCTGCCATGCCAATACCATTCATAAATCTGATTGGGAGGCTCAATTAAATTACCTTAGAATTGCATCTCTGAACTGAATAATTGAATGATTCATTCAAAACAGGCACAAAAACTATGATTACCAAATACAGCTCACTCAGGAAACTAACCAAATAATCCTTATTGTTGCTCACCAGACAATATTTTTTTTATGTAGAATCTTCCACATTTGATTTTTGTCACTTCCAAGTAAGGCTAAGGGGAAAAAAAACCCTGCCAGAAGCCCTGTGAGACTAATAATACTGCAGTGAATGGATCTGGCCTAGGAAACTCGCAATATATCTGCCAACTACTTGACAATCACAATAGACATAAAATAAAACCAAGGAAAACTGAAACAGAGAAAGCCTTGATGTTTGGTTATTATTATGGCTGGTTGCACTGTCAGCCAGATGTTTAGACTGGATTTGGCATTATCCAGCTGTTCTGTCTTTCCCAAGAACCTGGGGTAGGCAGATGTTGTTTGATAGTGTTAAAGATATCATTACAGGATGTAAGCTATTGCAAGTGAAAACTTTTGCAATTGACTGATAATGATTTTATCAATGCCAATGATGTTCAACTGGTGCTCCGGAAGTTTGGGGATTGCAGCCAAGGCACCAATTGCTACAGATAATATCTTTGCTTTCTTTTGCCAGTTATTCTATTTTTTTTAAATCTGTAGGTCTTTGCATTTTGTCATTTTTCTCTAGCTCTTTCTCTTCTGCTTTGTTGTCTTCAGTTATTGCAATGTTCACTGTGCAGGATTTTTTTTTTGTCTTTTTTATCAACAATTGTTCAAGTCTGGGGTGTTATGTGGCAACTGCTTGCCTGCTTGAATTCTAAAGTCCCAGATCACTTGTAACTTCTTCATTTTCTAATACTTGGTCTATTTTGTAGTCCCAGTGGTTCTTGTTTGCAGGCATTCTTGCAGATTCTTCTACATTCTTGTAGCTACTTTGTCATGCCTTTGTTTGTGGTCAGTATGTGTGATCTTGCAGCAGCTAATCAGATGATCCACTGTTTCCTCGGCTTCTTTGAAGAGGGAGAACTTGCTGTCCATTGCTGTCTTTTCAATTCTGGCTTTGTATGCATTTGTTCATAAGGCTTGGTCTTGTGCAACCATAATTAGCCCTGCTGTCTCTTTCTTCAACTTCCCTCCTCTTAATCATCACCGGGTTTTTGTTATCTGCTTTTCCTGCTAGGTTTTTTTTTTTAATGGCCATGTAATATTTCGCCTCGCCATGTCTCTTTTCTATTTTTCATTTGGTCATTCTTCTAGGCAAGCTTGGTCTCTTTGATATTCAGTAACCCATCAAGGTGTACAAGCTTCAGTGTATCTTCTTCACTGTCCTTCAAATATTCTTCCAATGTTCTTTTTTCTTCTTCAACTGTCTGGCATACTTGCAACATTCCATACCCAACTGCCCAACTACTCCTTGGCAAGTAAAGTCAATGTTGCTTAATGGTGGAAGGTCATGATTCATTTACATTATTTTTCTGGTCCTGCTATCTGAGACTTCTAGTTCTGCTTAAGTCTAGCCCACTATTCCAGTTGTGTGTCAAATGACTTGAATTACCCAATTGTTAGTTACCTTAATGGTATTTCCTCCCCTGGGTTTGGACTTTAAGATCTTCCCTCTCATGATATATTCACTAATAACCTTCTTGACTTTAGTATGATGTTATTTCTTTAGGAACCACAAATTCCTAGCCTATAATCCTTAGTCACTTGGTAGAATTATAGGATTTGAACTTAAATATATCTGAAAGTTGCCAATTTGGGGTATAATTATTCCAGCAAAAAGCAAAGTTAGAATAATTAACAGATTAACAGAGTTGGAAGGGACCTTGTAGGTCATCTAATCCAACCCTTTGCCCAAGCAGGAGACCCTACACCATTTCTGATGAATGGCAGTCCAATCTCTTCTTGATTGATTTTTTATTGATAAAATTGACTTTAACTTATAAAACTACTTCTGTTGATTTACTGGAAATTATTATAGAAGGAGGATAAAAATGACAGGGAACTATTCTTTCCTCCACATGGTGCATTCTGGGTAGAATAGAAAAACAAGTCCCAGAATTCCTAGCTAGAATCACTTATGAGAAATTCTGGGAAGTGTCATCTCATCATCCTTAGGAGATGCCAGATTGGAATTGCAGTTATAGGAAATGGTTGGGAAATAACACGGAATGGAGAGAGAAAAACACAGCTGGATTGTCACTTGGTGGTTTTCTAGGAATACATCCAGTCTAGGCTGTGAGAAACAGTATTCAGTATCGTGGACCAAACTACAGTATTATTTGGTGCTGAAGAAATGGCAAAGTCATTAAAAAGAGCAAAAGCAAGCAAAACTGGCGAGTTGCAGTCATCATCATTAACCAAAATGGAGGGGTGGGGGAAGAATTCTTGAGTAATGGTTGAAATGCTTTAAAAAGACAAAAGGGTGATTCTGGCTCCCATTTTCATTGGGGTCTCTTGAAGTCTGTGAACCAGCTGCTGCAGATGGAGACCAGCTTTCCAAGTGGCCTCTGTCAGCTGGGGTCTTTAACAACGGCTTGATTGGCAGGCATTAGCGGATGAGC